AATTGTGATGTTTAGGTGACTGGGTAATGTGGGATGTTCCCGGTCTGCAGGGGGCGGGGTTATGGATCTGGCGCAGGGCATTATGGGTAATATGACAGAGCGGTGGGAGGCGCGGTGACACATTCAGTGACGCGCGACATTGTCCTGTCTGGGCTCCGAGCAACCCGAGGGACAGGAACCCATAGCGGCGTCACCACGGCGATGTCAGTGCGGCCTAACCCTGGAAATGGAGGAACGGCGCCAAGTCACCTTCCCGGGGCCACATCAGCAGTCCTCCCCCCTCCCCCATCACACCACACACCCAACATCCACAACAGGTGACACTGCGTGGTCCCAGTACCCTCCTGTCATCGGTCACATGTCACCTTCGGTCCAATCAGATTTGGATCTCTTATCCTCTCTGCAGGTGAAATGTTGCCGCCCCCATAGGGGGTGGAGTCAGAGGCGGTCTCTTACCTGGGCATGTCCCGACCGCTGAGCTGCAGCTTCCTGAACGTCTCCTCGTACTGCGGCAGTTCCACGTAGTTCTTCAGCCACTCGACCACCTCGTCCAGCGTCCAATTACACACTGCCAGAGAGGAGACACGTGGCGGTCACACAACACGGGAGGGGAGGAGTCACACAACACGGGAGGGGTCAGGGCAGCGCGGGTGAAGTGGGAGGAGTTCATTTCCGGGGGCACGGTATGTGAAGTGGGAGGAGTTCACTTCCGGGGGCTCGGTAGGTGAAGTGGGAGGAGTTCACTTCCGGGGGCTCGGTAGGTGCAGTGGGAGGAGTTCACTTCCGGGGGCTCGGTAGGTGAAGTGGGAGGAGTTCACTTCCGGGGGCTCGGTAGGTGCAGTGGGAGGAGTTCACTTCCGGGGGCTCGGTAGGTGAAGTGGGAGGAGTTCACTTCCGGGGGCTCGGTAGGTGAAGTGGGAGGAGTTCACTTCCGGGGGCTCGGTAGGTGAAGTGGGAGGAGTTCACTTCCGGGGGCTCGGTAGGTGAAGTGGGAGGAGTTCACTTCCGGGGGCTCGGTAGGTGAAGTGGGAGGAGTTCACTTCCGGGGGCTCGGTAGGTGAAGTGGGAGGAGTTCACTTCCGGGGGCTCGGTAGGTGCAGTGGGAGGAGTTCACTTCCGGGGGCTCGGTAGGTGAAGTGGGAGGAGTTCACTTCCGGGGGCTCGGTAGGTGAAGTGGGAGGAGTTCACTTCCGGGGGCTCGGTAGGTGAAGTGGGAGGAGTTCACTTCCGGGGGCTCGGTAGGTGAAGTGGGAGGAGTTCACTTCCGGGGGCTCG